CTCAGACTTTATTTATTTTATTCTAATACAGTGACAGAACCTAGGCTGGTGAAACACTCTGTAAATATAATAGCATTTTCTGTTATAGAAACTGGTGCAGAGGTTGTTTTGACCATCCAGAAAAACATTTGGAAATTGAACCTTGTTACATTTGTGTAATTAACAATTAAATACCACATATGGATGATTTGACATAAAACTGACAGTGGTGTTTTTAAACTATAGCTCTTATTTGTAAGGAGAAACACAAATATAGACCACTTTCTCATTTCCAATCTTATATCAGCTGTCTTTTCCTTAATGAAAGATATTGTTCCCCAACAAGAGGATTGCAGGCTCCCTGCAGGCTGTTAAAGTAGGTTTCCTCCTCTAATTATATCATATGAAACAAGGAGGGATCAATTAATGAGTTTTCAAAGAGAAGCAAGGTTGCTGAGTGGGCTTTAATAATTTCCTTCAGCTGCAGTTTGGAAATGGCTGAAGTAGGAGAGAAAGAAGAGGCAGGAAAGGGTCTCCATTCTTTCCTCTGTTGGGAAGCCCCTACTGAGAAAGCATGTGATAAAGCTCTATATTTTAGTGAGTGTGTCTTGAAGCAAGGAGAGGTCTTGATGAAAGAATAGCATATAACTATGCATTTCAGATTATTATTGATAATGGTAGAAGTATAGAAACACCTAACTAAATTAACCAACGTTATCCAAAATGGCAGTAGTTTACCCCTTGAAACGCACAGCTTTCTCATGAGGATGGTGTCCAAAGGAGTGAACTCGCAGTCCTCACTGCAGCGTATGTGCAGTTCTCAGATCTCTCTTCTGCTCCCTCCCCTCCATGTTTGCATCTTCTGGCACTTCATTAGCTTTGGCCAAAACAGATCCAATGCAGAGGGGGAAGAAGGGAAGAGGACAGTGGTGATACAGCTGTCCTTGCTTGTTGAATGGTTGGTGGGGTTTTTTTGACAAGGGAGTGATTGTGCATAGCTGGTAGGTATAGCTGCTCTGCCAGCCGGTGAAACACCGTTGAACTGTTGTGGTTACTCTGCACCAAAGAAATAAGATCCATAATGAGATACCAGAGGGATAGAGTATTCCATGTACAGACAGACATCGGGTGAGCTTTCAGTCATCAGCTGCCTTTGGGTCGGAAGATTCTTCATAGTGAACGGGCACCATATCAAAGTTGTTCCACCCTGGAAACCAGGGGAGAAATGCTGGCAATACTTAGCTCACTTTAAACAGGAGAAGCAAGAAATCGGAAATTTAGAAAATGGTCTAAAGGAAAAAAGCCTCAGAAACCAAACAAATCATCTGTTTTCAAATCAGAAAGATAGAGATAATGGAAGTCAACTTCAGAAGAAGAGCAGGTCTCTAGAGAAGTGGCACCGAAATCCAGTCATCATTTACAATATACACTTTCTCCCTTTTGTATAGCCTGCGAGAAAAGGGATTCTGAAAAAGAGAAACCAAAAAGATTTAGGATAAAATAAGCTCACTCTGAATGAAGGAATGAGTTTTCATTATTCAGTACAAATCTGAAGACAAACTTAACAGACTAAATTAAATGAGGAGCTCACAGCTTTGTAGATGACTCATCGTACTTGAAGAAATTTATGACAGTATAGAGGAAAATATAAAGAGCAGATGGTGCAAAGGATCCTCAGTACAAAACAGAGATCAGCACTGAGCTCAAGAGCCAGAAAACATCCTTCAGCCTAGTACCAGTGGCAAGAAAATGCTGCCATTAAAGTGATTAAAAGCCATGCTGAGCTTCTAAGCATTTTTTTTTTTATCAAATGGTTGCATTGGGTAACCGAATTAGAGCACTCCTGCAGCTACTGGATTTGAAGCAACTAATTACAAGAACTTCCCATTGATTCATCATAGGAACATTAGAGCAGTCTTTGTAAGTGGGCAAATAGGATTTACCTATCTTAAATTTTCCAGTTAAAAAGAGCTTTATCCATTTATTAATGGATAGGATCTTTACGGTCTAAATAACTTCTGCTCTAGTGAGCAACTGTTAACAAGAAGCTGAAATTTCTCCATACAGTGTTCAGTAGCACTTCACAACAACTAAAGAACTAGGAAATGAGCTTTTAATTACCTGGGTTCATTTGTTTCTTTGTACAATAATTTTTTTACTTGAGTCCTTTTCCTAAAAGTCATTATTTTGTCTGAGATGTGAATAGATAGCCTCTGTATGATAAATACAGGATCATCCTTATGAACATACAAGAAATGGTCAGTGGTGACTCTGTGGCTTTTTGTTGAAAGGTACGTGGGGGTTTTGTCCCCACAATGCACAAACAGATGTGGTTCTCGTATTCACAGCCATATTCACAGCCTCTGCATTTTGATGTAGGGAATGCAGTGTTGGCACAGTACTACAAGTGTGATGTGAGCCTTCCTGTATGGGGTTTTCAGTTTCAAGTGCAGGTCAAGCACAGCTAGTTTAGGAGAAGGTTAAAGTAAATCTTTTCCCCTTAATACACTACTGAGTTGTTTCCCAGGAAGAGGACTGGGGTTATTTCTTTTGAGAGGATCTTCGGATGTGCTGGGACAGTGTTTTGATATGCAGTTCCTCAGCTGGAAGAGTTACTGCAGATTGCTCAGTCTGAAAACCTGAATAAATTGCGATATAAATTTGGAAATCAGAACCCAAAGGAAAATGCACAGCATGAGGTACATATGAGAAGCTTATACAGGGTAGGTGATGATTTGAAGAAGTGTAATAGCAGTAATCTGTATTTAAAAATCCTAGAAGGGCCAAGAATGTGATTATGTCTGCAGTTTAACCTGGTATTTCCTGTACTCAACCTCAGTCATTTCACAAGGATTTAATTGTCTGACTAGTGAACCCCCAAATGCAGTAAGATGAAGCTGTGATGTGCTAGGGAAGGTGGTCCAGCTGATGTCCGTCACCTGTGAGCAGGTACACAGGGTGTACCAAATGTATCTGAAAGGTTGCTATAGCTCCCTCAGAGCCACCTGTAAATTACAGCTGGATACCAGTGAATGACTTAGAACAAGCAGCAATAAACAAATGTATATAAGCAATGCCCTTGTAGGGGCTTGATCAGTGTTTACCAAATACAAATCCATGTTTGCTAGCTCCTGTTTTTCTTCAAACAGACCTAGCTTTGTTCCCTGCTTGGAGTAGCTGATGTTACCCCAGAGAAACATTATGAATGCTCAGTCTTACCCTCAATTTCAGGAGTAAGAATTTCATTTTAACCGAGGGAGTAGTTACACATACCCAGGGATAATGTTTTGGCCCAGAACCTATGAATGCTTTTTATTTATTTATTTGTATTTTTTTCTGTTCAGTTACTTATCTTACGCTTTTAAAGGACTTCCTGAAAAATAAGTTAATGTTTATTCAGTATGGCAGGAATTCTTTTTATCTCTCGTTCCCTTACATCAGACCTGTAATTAAACTGCCATTAGTACAGTTTATGACAGTTCCCTGAGTAAGCTCTGCTTTGTCCACTAAATACTTTTGGTGGTTTTTCCCATTAGTGTCACATGTTGGGTTGTGTGGGGGTTTTTCCCATCAGGGAGGACTGGACTATTATATCATAGAATTGACAGTGAATGGAAGTTAATTTTCTCTCTCAGATAAATGCACTGTCACGGAGAAAAATATTATGTGCATGTCTGTGTGTAGTTTTCCTTTTTTCAATGGTGTTTTCTTCAGTGTTTGCTTGCATTCTAGAATTTTCGCTTTCATTTCTTATACTTCCTGAAATACTTTCAGGAAAGAAAACTAAGGCATGAAATTTTGTGATTAGAAGCAGATTTTTTATTTCATTTTCCTAGGGAGATTCTTTCTTTCAGAAGATAAAAACAGGAGTCATAAAAATGTGTTATTTTTAGAAAACAGCTGCTTGGAAGCTTAGAAGAGGTCAAGTAAGATTCGTAGTAAAGAGGAATGGGGAGGGTGTTTAATAAACCACTCTTTGTTAGTGGAAAGACAGTGAAAGCTGTGAAGCACTGGAAGAACTTTTGGGGAGGGGGGTTATGGTAGCTGGTTTGTTCAGCTGGCTCAGTTGTCTTCAAGGCTCTTGTACAACATGAGTGGTTTTGTTGTAATATTTGGGAAAGCTGCGTATCAACACTGTTAAAAACAGCATTATTGTCTGGAGAATATTAGATCTCCTTTGACATGCTTGACCAGATTAATAAAATAAGCAAAGATCATTTTCTAGGATACAATTTTTGCACCATTTGAAATTATTGCATAGGTAATAGTCCACCTTCTTTTCCAAAAGGGCATAAAATCTATTTCTTAAATCTAGTTAACCCCCTAGTGAGATAATTTGGCTCTTGGGTAAACCAGCCCACCTTGGGCCACTTGTAGTAGCTTCTGGATCCGGTTCCTACTAACTGCACTGCTGCAGTATTAGTTACAGTAGGTAAGTTTGGGGGTGCCTTTGCCCTCATGGTTTGCCCATAACCCAATCCCTGCCGCTGGCCTCTATGAAGCTGACTCTTCTGGGTGCATAGCTACCTCACAGACAGGCTAAAATGCCCTTGCTGCTGCCAGCTCAGCTTGCAGAAATAAGATGTGTCACTATGTTTTACCCCAAAGAGTAAACCAAATGTACATTTTACACAGTTGAATTATAACATTTCATGAAGATTGTCCTGAATGTAGGATTTACCGTCTCTCAAATGTAGTTCTGCTCTGGACATGTCCTCCAAGCCAACAGTGCAACCTAGTTGCATGAAGCTGGTAATGGGAGCTGGCATAGGCTCGTCTTTCTATGTTTTTGCATACAGCCATTTTTCAGAAGCTGGTCTGCACTTTTAACAAAGGAGTTACTAGTATGTACCTGAGACATTAATTCCATGTTATGTGGTTTCCCTGAGAATTGCCATCTGTCATGCCTTTCTGTCTGGAGGTCACGCCAAGTTACCTTGGGTTTGTATCCTAAAACAGTAGGTTGAAAGGATAAACTGTGTGCTTTGTCTTTAACCCTTAGTTATCCTTTTCCCTTTCAGCACCCTCCTTGATAGGTATGGTAAGGAAGGACTGGGCTTCCCAAAACAGCATTGCCCTCTCCTGGCAAGAGCCGGACTTTCCCCATGGAGCAATTCTGGACTACGAGATCAAGTACTATGAGAAAGTAGGTCTCACAGCATCACCCAAACTCAGATCCTAAAGACCAATATGTTTTGTATTTCTAATATCTTAAAAAATACTTTAAACTTTTCACTCGGTCCCACATACAATGCTGTATAATTATAAGGTTTATTCTGTACTATTTTTTTGTAGTTTTACTGCTAACTTGTAAAGTACTGTCTTGTTTCACATCAGAATCAAGTACAGCAGCAAGCAGGCATTAGATATACATGCCCAATAGTAACTACATTTATGATCGTGGGTAAATGGATCGTATGCCTGAACATATTTTGATTTATGGACTGTAAAAACTTCACATTAGAGTGACCCTGAAGCAAAACAGTTGCAGTGAATGACAATGTGATTTTGTTTTGTGGCATTATTTAGCAATAATCTGGTCTAAAATGATAGAATGAACCAGCCTTGTTAAAAGGGTTGCAAAAGGTTACAAGAAAGAGAAACTGCATGGTATTCATGTAAAAGTTCTTGAATTCTGTCAAAATTGGGTGATTTCACAGAAAAGAGGGCAATAACATGCCCTGCAAGTAAAAGGTACAAGGTACATGCACACAGCATGTCTGATGAACGCATATTTTGAAGTGTGCTTCTCCCAAACCACAAAACATGTTTTGTCATTTCCAGTTCACTACAGGGTCTTGTAACACTATAAAATTTAGTGCTAATCAGTGCCTTCACTCCTAGAGATATGCACAGGAAATTTTTGCTATCCATACCTTAAAAGGTTGCCTGGTAAGTCAGTTTTTGCTGTTTATCTGCCCGCATCCGAAAGTCACAATGGAACTAATGCATATGTGGAGGAGACCACAAAGAACAGAAATATAAGCCAAGTCATGAAAGAAAGATTTGGGTTTCTTAGGCTATATAAATGTCTGAGAATTTTCTTTTCTTTGTAATTCTCTATTGAGATGATGCAGCTTTAATGAGGCAGGGGAAAAAAAAGAGTAAATTGGGAAAAAAAAATCCAGAAATAAATAAATATCACAGCTACAGGTTGGGTGGAGAAGAGACTCAGAACAGCCCTGTGGAGAAGGACTTGGAAATGTTGCTCAATGAGAAACTGAACATGAGCTGGCTTCGGTGTGCGCTCGCAGCCCAGACACCAACCGTATCCTGGGCTGCATCAAAAGGAGCATGACCAGCAGGTGTAAGGAGGTGATCCTGCCCCTCTGCTCTCGTGAGACCCCATTTATAGCACTGTGTGCAGTTCTGGTGTCCTCAACGTAAGAAGGACACGAAGCTGTTGGAGTAAGTCCAGAGGAGGCCACGAGAATGATTAGGGGCTGGAGCACCTCCTGTGTGAAGACAGGCTGAGAAAGTTGGGGCTGTTCAGCCTGGAGAAGAGAAGGCTGCGTGGAGACCTCATAGCAGCTTCCAGTATCTGAAGGGGGCCTCTAAGAAAGCTGGGGAGGGACTCTTCAGCAGGGACTGTAGTGACTTGATAAGGGATGATGGGTTCAAATTCCAACAGGGGAAGTTTAGGCTAGATATCAGAAAGTTCTGTGTTCTGAGAGTGGTGAGGCACTGGAATGGGTTGCCCAGGGAAGCTCTGCATGCTCCATCCCTGGGAGCATAAAAGGACAGGTTGGACAGAGTCTTAGGTGACATGGTTTAGTGTCAGGTGTCCCTGCTATTGGTAAGGGGTTGGAACGAGGTGATCTTAAGGTCATATGTATGCATAACATACCATAGCTTTATGTTGTATTTAGTTCTCTTCCATTCTCTTCTGTTCTATTCCATTCCATTTTTATTCTGCTCCATCTCATTCCCTGCACTCACAATGAGTTGTACAATGAGGAGAATATTATTTACCTGAAATGCCAAGGAAATTTCAGCAACAAAAGTGCTTTCAAAGACACAAATCAGAGCGGTTACAGGTGGGAAAAAGTATTTCACTTATTTAGAAATAAAGTTATTTTAGTTGCCTTGGTTAGGTTTAGCTTATTTTAGTTAATTTCAGTCTGGTTTAGTTTGGACCCTTCAGTTGAGCTGGAAGAACCTTCCCTTGCAGCCTGACAAAGGAAAGGCAGGGCAGGAGCGGTGCCGTGGTGGTGCGAGAGCAGTGCAAGAAGAACCCAGCCAGAAAGAGGCAGGGAAGACCTGACAAGGGGTGGTGCTCAAGGCTCCAGAGGACAGCAGCAAGTCCCGGGGCCTCGCTGGGGTCACCGTGGGAGTCCAGAAGGCTGCCTCCCCCCAGATGCGGGGCACGAGGGCCACCTGCGTGGAGCACGAGCAGCTGCCTTTGGGACACAGGGAGCCAAAGGAGCCCCATGAAGGGGCTGTGCTCGGCTGCGGAGGAAGGCAAAAAACCCCAGGGACGCTTGCTAGTCCAGCCTGGGGAGAAAAAAGCCTTCCCCCCCCAGCTGCAGGACACGAGGGGCCACCTTCGTGGTGCACGAGCAGCAGGCGATAACGCAGCCAGAACGGCCCCAGGAGCCCTGACAAGTGGTGATGCTCAGTGCTCAGAGGAAGGCAGAAAACCCCCGGGGATCCGTGCCAATCTGCCCCGGGGGAAAATTCCTTCCTGACCCCAGTGCTGGCGATCGGCTGCTCCCTGAGCATGTGAGCAAGACCGGCTCCTGGTCCACACGCTGGTTATGCCTCTGAGGGGACAAGGGACAGAGCCTTCGGTGACGTGGTCTAATGTAAGGTGTCCCTGCCTATGGCAGCGGGGCTGGAACTGGATGATCTTAAGGTCCTTTCCAACCCATTCTATGATTCTAGGATTCTAAAATACCCCGAATGATAACACAACAAAATCTTGTTTGGCTTTCTATCTCTCTCTAAAAATTAAATGTTGAGAAAATAGCAAAACTTCAGTGTGAGCCAATTTTGTATGGGTTGTACAGAGTTTTAATTTCCTATTTAGGAATACACTGGTGCCTATTTATCTGGTTGACTGACAAGAGGTCACTTTGTTCTGCAGCTTTTCAGCCAAAAATGCAGTAAACATAAGATGACCTAGGCCTGTGAGGAAAACAAAAATTCCTAGACATTGTCCAAGATGCTATGAGTTTCTGTCACAGTAAGGAGAAAACGTTTTCCATTGCTTGAATAGTAATGTGATGTAACCAGAAAAAGAGTATAATGAGCCTGAATTAATGCTGTATGTTGAGTCCTGGTAGCTGAAATACCTTATTTCCAGTAATTATGAATCATTCTGAAAGCTATCTAGTTAGCAACATTTGTCACCTTACACAACAAGTGAGTCTTTACAGCAACACAGACAATTCTTTAAATGTTTTACCTTAGACCACTAAGAGGTACTCTGAGAAGTATTTATTCATAGACCTGCTTTGGAGTCTTCATGGATACTACATATTTGCAAAGTATCTTTGTTAATACAGGCTGTCTGCCCTATTCTGCAGTCTGTTATCTATCCATGAACAGTCTGCAGTCTGTTATCTATCCATGAATAGACCAGTACTTCTAGAAGAAAAACATCTCTCATAGGCAGTATTGTCTTTCCCTTTAAAAATCAAACTCCAGCTATCAATATCATCTCTGTTTCATTGCTAATAGTAATCAACTTCACTTTTATAGTTAAAACAATTACTTAGACACTGCCCCAAACTTGTACTTTTTGAAAGATTCCAGGACATTGTAATCTATTTAGGTCTCACCAAAAAGGTTGCATGTTCAACTCAGATGAAGGAGCGGGATAAAATATGGCCTTGATACAGCCTTGTAATGATGCTTAGGTCCTGCTGTAGGGATTCCCTCAAGGAAAAGGAAAGAGTACATAGCGGATATAAACCATACCAGCTCCACTTGAGGTTGTGCAGCTAAGCCTGAAAATGCTTATTCCTCCCCTTTTCCACCCAAACCCTTTAAGTTAATCATCAAAAATTAATGCTCCCTGAAAGCTGTGTACGTATCAGCAACTGTATTAAGTTTGTTCTCCCATATGGCCTGAATACACAGCTGGATTCTATTTTCTGTTACTCACGAGATAATATATAATTAGCTGAGAAAGCGTGTCTACAGAGAAGAGATTTGAATGGGATATACCCAAGTACTATCCCAAGGCATTGCAATGACATCTCCAGAATATATTTTGCAGCAGGACGTAGGATGGAGGGGCTGGCTGATGTTTCTTTGCTTTCTTGTCTTTTGGTGAAATTTACACTAAAGCCAAATCCTTTGACAAAACATTTTGTTGACAGAGTCAATTTGCAACACACAGGCAGTTTTCACTTAAATATTTTAACCCACCTCCGTATGGCAGTGAGTGCATAGGACATATAGGATGTCAGGTATGACTTTCTTGCAGGATTATTTCGAGCTGAATTCATAAATAGAGAAATAACCGAGCAGTGGAGGCAAGAGGGAAATTAGTTCTGCAATGGGATTTTAAAAAGTGATGAAGTGTGATGATGCAGAGAGATAGAGGAAAGTGTCATATTTAAAGAATTAGAAAGCAGTATGATCTTGTTAATTCTTCTATCAGTCTACAGCTGTATTAACTTATTAATATGAGGATTTAAGACTATCAACACATAATGTTTTGAATGACAGAAATATTTTTACAAAAATTAATATGGAAAATTATAAACACAAAAGTAATATTGTCTTCCAGGATGGTTTGTCTACACTAGTATCCTGTAGTATAAAGAAAATCTGTCTACAAGTACATGCACCATATTATTTCAAAGCCACAGAAGTGTGTATGTACAACAGATTACATACTCTGCCCTTTGATGACAGAAAGATGTGGCACTCAGTGCATGTACAGATGAAGATGTTTTTCCCTGCCTATTTTTTTTCTACACGTTCTGAGGAACAGGTAATTTTGTGCTATGCTTAGTATCACACTAGACTAGCACAGCAATAGCACAGCCCTGGAAGCCTTCAGAATACTTCAAGCTCATTTTCACATACGTGCCCAAGTTGCTTTATTCCAGCTTTTTTTTTGTCTCCCCATGTGAACTGCCAGCATAAGGTATGTGACTTATCCCATTTTAGGACAACAGGCTTTCCCCTGTG